CCCCAAAACCCCAAAACCCCAAAACCCCAGGGTATGTCCGCCCACTGAAAGTTTATAAAATATTTATTGGTACTCTTCTTCATCAGATTCAGTCTCAATTTCGTACTCTGCACTGGGGTGAATGACCTCAGTAGGGATTATGGCAAGGAACTTCTGCATTATATAAACAATTTTGTCATATAATCCCATTGTGCTATTTTTGATGAACACTATCTGGCCCAAGCGAGCGATAAATTCAAGGTATTCTACAAATTCCAGACGATCTAGCTTCTCGCTCTCCTCCATTTCATCAACAACTGTCATTTTTGCTAATGAAAAGGCAAGCTGGACTTCCTTAGCTTCAATATTGATGTCCAGTTCATTTCTATTTTCAATGGTAAATTTAAGATATGAAGATTAAAAATAGAATTCTTACCTTCAAACATACAGAGAGTCTTTCAGACTCCAATAATTTGTTCTCTTTTTTCTAAACATCTAGAGATAAATTATCAGAAAATTACCACAAAAATAGACTTGAGAGAACTCAGATTGGCTTTATAAAGATCGTCTATGTTTATAGTCCAGAGATAGTCTTCTCTCCACAGTTGGCCACTCAGAACATGCTCTGAGTTTTCAAAGATGTTTTCAGTCAAAAGTCTCGCTACAGCCATGGGTAAGGAACTTAGCGCTTTGGACTTTATGTATTTTTGGTTAGCAATTCTCACAAGAATTTCGTAAAATTCATATCTACACAGAAGCTTATCAGGGTTATCTTCCATATCAACTTCTTCAAAATTAGTGGTGATGAAAATTGTGTCGATTTCTTTCATTGGTCAAGTCCCTTTGTCAGGAATATTCCACTCCTTGGTTAAATTGCAGAACTCTAGCCATGAAATGTATGGATATGAAGAGATTCCGATACAATATTCAAATATCTCTTTTATCTTCACAATATCATCTTTAAAAAGAGAGTAAACTTCTTCATAATCTGCCTCGTCTTTAATAAACCGCTTTAACTTTGAATGCTTAAAATCAAAGTCAAGAGAAGCTTTAAGAGAGGCCTCTGTATCAGGTTTCCAATCTTTAAACACAGAGAGATGCTTTTCGAACTGTCTTACAATCAGTCTTTTCTTAATTCTCTTCTTGTGAATTATAATCTAAAGATAAACTGATGAAATACCTCCTCGTTACGAATAGGAATTATCCCTTGTATCAGGTTGTAAGAATCTTTGCTTTGAATATCATCAAAGCACACTATCATCTTGGTGTCACCAGGTGGCATAAATGTAGCATAGGCATAGTACTGGCTGAGTTCTTCATTAGTAAGATCAGGGAATTCTCTCTTCAGTTGTTTGTGATTTTCTCATAATTCCTCTGGTGAAATCATAAGATGAGGATGATCTTTCTGCATCAACTTGAAGACCTCTCTACTAAAAATAGCTCCGTACTTCTCTGACCGATAAAGAATAGTCTTATTCCGATCTCCTGAGGTGAATATGATATTAAAAATCCTGGTCTTATTAATACATTTCAATATCTTCTCCGTTGTGTAGGTCTTCGGCACAACACTACAGTTAAAACTAAGGCTTACCTACGAAGAGAGGGCTTCTTGCTCATTCTCTCATTATCATCATTTCGAAGGGTAAACTTCTTGATATATCTCCTTGGCCCTCTCCTTCTAAACTTAAAGTTCTGCTTCAACAATGTTTTAAATAATTGTTGGTCTTTGCTGAGATACGAAGCACTTCTGGTTTCGATACATTGTGTAAATTTCATTGTTTAATATCTTTGATATCTTAGTGGTTAAGTCATCTTCCTCTTCTTTTACGTAAATTCTCTCGTTTGGTAATCGGTTTCTGAGTAATCAGTCATAAAATTCATTGATTCTGATCATCTTGTGTCACTTCCATTTTGAGAATGTTCCTGTGATTGTTGGAACAATGTCTGAGTAAGTCTTTTCAAGCTCTTCTGGAGTGTTACCTCAAGTGATCTTTTGATGAAAATCATCACAATTAAACTCCTCTGGCTGAGTGAAGTTGGAATGTGCTGTTAAAGGATTGGCAATAATACAAGTGTACTTCCACTTGTCTCAAATCCAACAGCTTGTGCTAAACTTCCATACATGTCCATCAAGCATTTCTAGATGGCCAAGGAATCTGTACAGAACTATTCTTTCGTCGACAGTTTCAAATTTGGTCTTTTTGTCTTGAATGAATCCAAGCTTATTTTTGCTGGTTCTGTTTGAAAAGTTCGAGAGCCATTGTTTGTTTATTTATGCTTGCTCACTTTACTCTGAGTTGAATTTAATTTCTTAGAACTCAAAGATTTCATACTTCTGTTAATTGTAGATATATTATTAGAGCTAATAATTCCACTAGAGAATCTAAGCTTCCCAAATTTTGCAGAATTTTGGTTCTTGAGAAGCTTCAAATCTTTATGTTTTATATTACAGCTCAGGTGTACTGACAAGAGTGACTTTGATTTCTTGATCCCATCATAGAGAGTCTTTACTTGGTTAACTTCCAGATTACAACTGCTAATATTTAAATGTATTAACGAAGGATTGTTGGTAATATGCTGAGTCAGTAACTCAACTAATTTCTCATTTAGAGGTCCTTCAAAAGGAATAGCAGAAATATCAAGATGTTGGAGATGTTTCACATTCTGAATCTGCGTTAGAAATAGCAGCAATTCATCGCTGGATATCTCAGACCATGATAGGTTCAATTTCTGTAACTTAAAATTACTCAAGACAAGAATTGCCAAATTATTAATAGCATCAGTGCTAAAGTCTACTGAAGATAGTCTCAGATGTTCTATTTCTCTATTCTTACTAAGTTCCTTCATTAAGTCTTTTATCAATGGTGAGTTGTAGATACACTTGTTCAGTTCCAAGTGTTTGATCCTAGCTTTAGCTTCTTTACCATTAAATGTGCAATTAGAATCATTGATCTCAATTAATCTCGCCAGAGCTTTGATAGATAGCTCTCCAACTATGTTATTTTTGGATTATAAGAGTTTCTATGGGTTTATTCTAGGTCTTACCAATCGGGTTGTAGATCATCCCATTGATGATACAAGAAGTAGCCTTATCATCCATATTGTTGTTCGTCAGGTTGATGCTTTTGATGTAGGTTCCGAGATAATGAATGGTATCTCCTAAAGCTTTTGATATTTGTCCAGTCACTTGATAGTTATCTAACACAATAGCATCGAATTTGATTTTCTTCAGTAATGGAAGCGGTAGAACCTTCATTTCCTTGCATTTCTCAATGTAGGAAGTTTGAAATTTAACGAAAGCTTTTTGGGTATCTATTGACTTATTGATGGATTCGTCAAGAGGGAATTTCTTATCCAGTAAGGCTGGATTTTCTATGATACTGTATCTTGACGAAAATGCCACCTTCTCAATTAGTCTGAACTTGTCATAATCTCTGACATCAGATATCATTTCTTGAACAATCCCGTCCTCATCTGAGTTATGGATATCTTTTTGGGAAATATCATGGAAATCTTCATCTTTTATTTCTTTAAGCAAATTCTCAGAGTCAAAAGAGCTATGACTGTCTTGATTGTATATCTTTGAGTTGAATTTTGGCACAAAATTCTGTGCAATGCTGGAAATTCTACTTGTATTCGGGTCTCAAATAGGAGTATCTAAGCATTAGATCTCTCTTACTTAGTAAATTATGGTCGCTCTGAGAATTTTCATCAGAGTCTTCAACTGGTAAAAATTTGTTAATTTTCCTTTGATTCTTCATACTGGTGTTGATATCCTAAAAAGTTAATTCTTAGGTTTTAAGGCTTTCACAGAAAAGCAAAGATCCCTACCTTGGCTAACTTATTTGGTGTTTATAATATTTATCTTTTTGTAAGTCTCATTTATGCCTCGGATGGTGACACTTTTGAATTGAGAGTTCCTATGGGTCTTCGGCATACTATTTGTTAGGAAATAAGATACTTTTGTTTCAATGGAGCCAGTTTTAACTTGGACTTTCCTCTTTTCAATTTTGGAATACTGATGTTCACCTTAGAGATCGCAGAAATTTCTATTGTAGATTCATGAAGAAAGTACCTGGCTGAACTGATAGCATTTTGCCTCGATTAATCTTCTTCATATTGGTGAGAAGCTTTTTCACAGGTTCTCTGACTTTTGGAAGAGATGCATGTTTATTATGCTTATTTCTCTTAGAAGTTACTGCCATTGCGATTTTATTTCTCTTCAATAATCTTCTATGACATGCTAAGAAATGGCTGATTACCGTGAGCCCAGTTGGAGGGTCATTACTCTTGATGATCTTTGGAAGTTCCTGAGTGTTCTTAGTGCTCTTACTTTTACTAAGAACTAAATTTTCTTTACTCCTTGCATCAAATTTCCTCAAATTGTTAGTATACTCAATATCAAATTTATTGAAAATAGTAGACCTGACATGCTTCATAAACTGCTTTTGTTCAGGACTTTTGTCTTTATTAGCTGACACAGATCCTCTGAAATTAGAGACTCAATATACCTCGGGGTTAGCTGGCCGCTCATGGGATCTCCATTTTGTAAGAAATTATACCGTGGTGTGGCAAATTGGCTTTGCATATCTTTCACTATTAGATTTTATTAGAAGAGTTACTTTCTAGGTTCTTTTTGGAAATCCGAGGCATACTAGCCTTATTAGACCCTCTAGAATAATTAGAAGGAATATAAAACTCACTCTTCATTAGGAAGGTTTCCTAGAATAATGCTCTTGTGGTTTGTGTACTTATCACCAAGCCTCTTGAGAGAAAGCTTGGGATCATATAGGCTGACTTCTCCTTCATCGGTTCGGAACCTAGTGATAAGGCAATCTGGCATACTTAGATTTTTCAATATCTTCTACAACTTTCTTTGAAGGCCAAGGCTTCTTTGTTTGAGGAAGGCTTACTATCGAAACTCGATTATAGGAAAGATTTTATAATTTTAAGCTGAATGTGAGGGATGGGAAAAGAGTAGAATTACATAAAAACCAGAGGCTTGAATAAGATTAAATAACTGTGAGAAAATTATTTTTCCCATTTTGACTATGGTTTTATAAAATGGAAAATTCTGAAATTTTGAAATTAGTGGAAAAATAGTTTACTCTAAAAATTTTACAAAGTACCTCCTGAAATATCTAATATACCCAGTATGCTCTCTTCTCCTTTCCATATATCCCTCTAATCACCCTTTTCTCCTTAAAATTCCTCTAAACCCCTCATTCCGACCTTTCAAAACTCTTTAAACCCTAATCCTCTCAAAACCCCAAATCTCCAATTTACTCCAGCCAATACCCAAACCATCCAAACCCATTCCCCACTACCTTAGCCCTTCCCAATCCCCCCAAAAGCTAACCTTCAGCCCCACAAACCCTCTATTCCCTCAAAGCCCCTAATCTCCCACTCATCCTGCCTCTTTGCCCACTGGCTGCCATACCTTTCTTCATATATTCCCAAAAATTATTTATAATCCTACTATATTAATTTTATTTGTGGGGTTTTGGGGTTTTGGGGTTTTGGGG